GCCAATTTCTTCTCCGTTGTCACCAGGACCATCAATGTTGGATTCATAATAAAAATTATGGATTCTCCTCACATGTTGGTAAAAAGGGTTATACTTGTGGTAGGTGCGAGGACAGTTATCAATAGAGCATTGCACCTGAAAGCCAGGGTCAGATGCGTGGCGTGTTTGTATGTGCGAGAGTAGTATTCGAAGCGTACACGCAAAAAACAGGCAGAGACAACAGGCAGAAGTGTATGGCCATCAGATTATACAAGATGTACTAGTACCTGTAACTCGCATTCGGGGAGGGGCTAAAATGGCACACATGATGTATAGGAATGAATTATGTCACTACTCGCGGTTGGAAGTGCGAAACGGATGTGTACATCTCGAGGCTGGGTCATTTACATTAGATGCGTTTTGCGCTTTCTCGTAAATTGCAAAGCCTTTCTGGCGGAAAGCTCTATTGTGTGGATTAAGCTTCTTTGATCTTCCTGTGAGAATGAATAGATAATGTTAATGATAACTTTGAAGTTGAAGTGAGTGAAGCCAGAAGAGTTGACACATCAGACCTTTGATGATACCGCCGCTGGAAGCTGCGATCTTGCAAACTTTTTGTGCAAACTTTTGAAGACCTGTGCAACCTTTCTGACCATTTATGCGATATTTGGACAGCCAAATGGTATATAATCGGCAATGCGTTGACCTTCCGGAGTAAACATTATAGATACTATTGGTGGGATATCTTCATCTAGAGTTGTATATAATTTTAGCAATGTTTTTAGTCTAATTATATAACATCTTCATATTCGCGGCTCCAGGACCAACATGCCATGTACAGCGCTAGCCCCCCTCAGTTGGGCCCCGGGCCCCATATGGCTACAGTTACAGTATGTGGCACACGTCTTCCAAGAAAGTCAGACGTAGTTCTCGACGACATAGCTATAGTTTTATACAACTACCGTAAAGTTTCATGTGTAGATTTTAGTTATTTCATACTCATATTTCATACGCAATGTTTTTTTGTTTCAATGTTCTTTTTTTGTTTGTAATTTGCAATTAGCCTTCGGGCATGAATTTGTAATACACTTCTCTATGTGTCTGGCATCCTGGCATACCAGATGCTCCCAGTTAGCCTTTCCATTAGTAGATCGCTGTACGCATCTAGTGAGCTAACTAATAATGAATTGAAACCACGTAAATCTTGCCAGTGATGGTACACAGACCAACTCCTCGGCTCCAAAAGCACTTTCAGTTTCATGCGGGCTGAGATGTGTATTGCGGCCCTGTTTTCCTAGCTGCTACTACTCTCCAAGCAGATGTTTGGGTTTTGGGGGTATTTTTAGCGTGTTTTTAAGCTTTTTTTATCGGGATTTCTCTATTGCACTGATTTTTTTTGGTGGGAAGAAAAAATTCAGTGCAAAAGAGAAACCCCGATAAAAAGCCTGAAACCGTGACGCTAAAAATACCCCCAAAACCTAAACCTCTGCTTGGAGAGTAAGCCTCTACCAGGCTTCGGGAGGCGGCTGAAAAGAGTAGAAATCGGTCATACACGATAGTTGGATTCATTTCCCGGGAAAACACATCCCGTTGCACTCAAATAGGTGAAAATACGGAAGGAATCCCCCCCCCCACTTCAAAATATTCTACCACCATCCGATACACACTTAATGCCGTTACAAATCGGATGGCACCCAGGCTAATGCACAATCACAGTCACAGTTTCAACTTACGCTCAATATTGTTCTATAAATCAAGGGCAAATTTACACTTGAACATCAGCATTTAAACTACTTGTTTAAATGCAGCGGTTATTGTAAATTGTTGTTATTATCTTCCTCTTCATTTGCAAGCTGCGCTACAGCCTTCCTTTTTTTTCCCAATCGGTATTTTTTCAGGGCCTTTCAGGGGGATGTGTTTTCTATACTTCTCTACGATTATCAGGGGTCACTTTTGATGTAAAAAAATTACATAGCATACGGCTTGACGCTATGGCAAAATGCAAACTATCATAATATGACATAAACCATGTGCGGCCCGGTTCATCATTTACATAGTAAGATAAGTGCCAGTTTAGCGCCTATATGTGAAACTACGTGGTGCAGTGCACGTGTAAAGCAGGCCTGGCCCTGGCCTGGCCGGGAAGTACAGATAGCTTCGGATCGCTTTGATCTGGATCCCCTGAGGAGTAAAAGACCGGCATGCATTTCCGGGTTGCTCCGCCTCCTTAACTTCAGTAACCAATCAGAACTCCAGATAAGTTTTCCGTTGTGCTCTTGAAAAGTGACCGTTGTAAAGACTTTGCCAGTAGTGTCAGTAAAGACCCAGTCTGTGCACTGTTCACTATTTCGAGATCAACCTTACGGGAAAATGAGCGATCGCGTAGCAGGATTCAACAGCACAGAACTATGTGCATGGCTGCAGGAGAGCCTCTCACAGTTCAAGAATGAGGACGACATGAAAGCTGTCTGTGATGCGACACCGTGGATGCGATGAAAGGTAAGGGTTTTTGTGTGCTTTGCTGTCGTTCAAATCATACTTTGCGTTCCAAAAGACTACCCGGAGTATTGTCCAGTATCAGGGTGAAGTGGCAGAAGTTAGGGTGGCAGAAGTTGTCTGAAGTTGTCAGAAGTTACGACCATTTCCGAGTGGTTTTGGGGGTTATCGGGAGTAAAGTCTGACGTCACTGTAACTTCCGACACTTGTGGGGTAGGGTGGCAGGTGTCTGAAGTTGTCCGAAGTTGTCTGAAGTTACGTGACGTCACTGACACTGTAACTTCCGACACTTGTAGGGTAGGGTGGCAGGTGTCTGAAGTTGTCCGAAGTTGTCTGAAGTTACGTGACGTCACTGTAACTTCCGACACTTGTAGGGTAGGGTGGCAGGTGTCTGAAGTTGTCCGAAGTTGTCTGAAGTTACGTGACGTTACTGTAACTTCCGACACTTGTGGGGTAGGGTGGCAGATGTCTGAAGTTGTCTGAAGTTACGTGACGTCACTGTAACTTCCGACACTTGTGGGGTAGGGTGGCAGATGTCTGAAGTTGTCTGAAGTTACGTGACGTCACTGTAACTTCCGACACGTGTGGGGTAGGGTGGCAGGTGTCTGAAGTTGTCCGAAGTTGTCTGAAGTTACGTGACGTCACTGTAACTTCCGACACTTGTGGGGTAGGGTGGCAGGTGTCTGAAGTTGTCCGAAGTTGTCTGAAGTTACGTGACGTCACTGTAACTTCCGACACTTGTGGGGTAGGGTGGCAGGTGTCTGAAGTTGTCCGAAGTTGTCTGAAGTTACGTAAACTTCCGACACTTCAGGTGTCTGAAGTTGAAGATGGAAAGATTGAAAGCAAAAAAGTTCCAGTTTAGACATTTAAATGCAACATTGAAAATGTTTATTAACGTATTGTAGGTTGTAGGTTTTGCTGGAGTCATGTTAGACGAACTAATATTTTTTATATTATTTTATATTTTCTCGGAATCCGTGATCTAGGTGTCGTCAGGCGTTTATTGTTTATCAAAAGTTTGATTCCTGGTGTGGCGCCTAACGCGTCTGCAATCATCACGTGGGGACGATCACCACCAAGACCATAATTATAATGAAAAACTGACGTAACTTTATCATTAACCTGAAGATTTGTTGGGTTTAGTTTGCCCGACGACGTAATTTTCTCGTTTACATCTTTACATTAATCTGTATCTGATTGCAAATAAAGAAATCAAGTGATTGCCATAGATTGCAATGCCAGCAAATTATTAAGTTTCACGCGTAAACTTGTAAGATTTGAAAATACCTTGTTTGAAATAACTGTTGATCTCCTTTCCGTCTTTTTGTCTTTCCGCCATTATCTTCATCTTTCAGCTCGACGTTTTTCGAGATGTGCCCAAACGAATGCTCTACCGTGACAGATGGCTTCAGCTGCCGCTGTACACCTCTTTCCAATCTTGCTCTATACATGTACCTCACGTCATAACTACGTATACTTATAGAAACACATTCGAATTACTGCTGCCGGTTCGAATGACAAAGTTCTTTCTTACGTTAAAAGGTTTGAACTACGCCCGGTGTTGCCATCATATACGTGGTGCCTTTTCGTGGTCAAATGTAGTGAGAGTCGTGTTAGAGGAGATATTTTTAGGCATTCGCGATCTCGGTGTAGTGCAGCGCTTACTGTGTACGAGAAGATTAATTTCAACAGGAGCACCAAACACGTCCACTCTACTATCGTGGTTTTCAGACAGAAGGTCGCCTTCTTCAAATTTAGACAAAGGTCTGTATGAGAAACTGTCAAGTAATCTTATGGTATTATCCCCGCGTCTGTAACGGAAAGTTGATGGTCGCTAAAGACAAAGGTTCTGAAGTTGTCATGTATACAAACTCACACAGAACGTTTTTCAGAATGAAATATCCTAAAGTATGTTAAGGTTAATGCCATTTTATTCAGCATTATAGGTAATACAGTCTTAAAAGCAAAAAAAGTTACGATGATGACTTGGAAGAGCATAAGTATTTGCTGTCAACAAACTGCACAGCGATAGAAAAAGAAAATGTTGAAGACCTTCTAAGCTGCTCATTGGTAATCAGACTTACAAACAAAAAGCCAACATCTACAACTGTGTACATGGCTATGATCAGTCAACAAGAACCGTCAATGGACAGAGGTGTACAAACAAAGAAGATAGAAGACAAAGAAAACAGGTACTTAATTTTGTTTTTACATCATTAATAACAGAAAAGTTAAAAGAAGCCTTAAAACAGCAATTTATGTATTCATTCTGTGCGAAAATGCGCTGTCCGTCCTTGTATGTAAACTTTCTCAAAAACCTTTAGCATGTCCAGCTATTTAAAGGCTGAAGACGTTTAAAATAATAAAGTACCATGGAATTCCATCCTCGATAATATGTCTACTATCAGAAAAAAATCACCCATTACGGCAGTGTCAACAATACTAGGCGCATATAAAAAAAAGTGATCTCTAACACCCCCATTCTACTAGGACAGCGATTTTACGTAGTCGTTTATCAAATACTATTACGGTAAGCTTCGTAACTTCACTTCACGCATATTGTGCAAATGCGCAATGTAGAGAAGGAAGAACATGAATCTCTCCTTGTTCATGTGTTTCGTCATTCTTTTATATCTGGAAAGCCACGAGAAGACTTGTTCACAGACTTCAGTGTTGACCTGAAATTTAAAGAAAAAGGAACATTAATTTTGAAGATTTGTAATCATGACTATTAATTTTCTTTCATTTATATTCTTTGTGTAGATAGACTAATGCAAGATGCGCGTGATGAACTACAAAGACCATGGTACAAAGTATAAAATGTATGCTGGCAATATCTGTGTCCTTACCTTGTCTAAGTCCCTGAAGCGTCCAGTCCCACAGTTTCGCTTGCACCATGGGTCAATATGACCGCGCATATGCATCCTGTCCACAAGGATTTCTATGGATGCCAACTTTTTCGTGGTCGGCGTTGTCTGAGCCCTTGACGGATTCCGCGCAAACTTGCGCAGGTGGCAGGCGTCATCATAAATTACAAACCCTGAAATTAGCATTAACATTGCGCTTTATTTCAAAAAGGATATTGAGTGTAACATAAAAACATTTTTTTCAATATAATCTGTTTTAAGATGATAGATAAATAAACGTTGTTTATTGTCTGGTACAAAAAAATAACTTGCTAGGTGAAAGCCTTATATCACATATAAAAAAGAAAAGTAATTGGTAAAAACAAAATAATTATAAAGTTCACAAATAGAAAAGAGACTAAAGTTCTTATAGTTGATTCTTGGCGATTGTTTGTACCCACCTGTTTTCTCCATCTCCTTCTTCGACATCAGGTTGTGTAAATGGCCGTACACTTGTGTCTTAGACTCTGAACCGAAAAGTTCATTAAGGCTGACAATGATGTTACAAGGCCTTATGAAAGCCAGCACACCTTTGAATCAGTCAAAGAAGAAAAAAAAACTTTGTCAATTCTAAAATCATATAAATTGTGAAACACGCTTCAAGCAGACGATCTACCTAATGCATAAATAATGTCAAAGGCTCAACCTATAGACAATCTAAGGCCTTCGTAAAGCACTTTATTTTTCTTTTAAAGATAAACATAGACTAAAACCTAATATATCAATGTCATCGAAATTGTATCTTGTTCTTAGCAAATTGCCTTTGCTTTCATCTTTCTTCTTTTAAAATAAAAAAGCAAAAAAAAAAATTGGGAATTTTAAATAACTCACCGGCTGTGATTGCATTCAGCCTTACACCATTCCTGTCCTTTTTAGTGTTGCAATTGATTTCCCTTGGTTGTTCACCATTGTGACTCACCAATACGTCATTTTTTTCTTCGACGGCAAATCCACTTTAAAGAAGACAGAGAAAAGTAAAGAAAAATACAGAATGAAACATGCTTCTTCACTGATTGATAATAACAACACTTCTAAATTGCTTCAGTGCTATTATTAACATGACATATGTTGAGGTATGTTAGCAAATTAGACTATCCAACGGCTGTCTTCAGCTGGCGGACAAAAGCAGCGCCAGGCGTAACCAAGTAATCCGGCAACTCAATACAAGCATCCCAACCGGAACCAGCACGTCTCCCTCGATATAGTGCCGCTGTAGAAGACAGACGCCCAAGTGTGTGGGTCTCGGATTCGCAACCTGTTATCCACCTTAAATGTATCCACGCGAAGGCCACCGTGTCAACTGTTACACTCACTCAGGTGTAAGGACTGACACAGTCATCCTACTCAGAAAATCTGAATCTTTATATATGTACATAAATCTGTATCTGTGCATAGATATGTATCTGTACATGAATCATTATCCGATTGTAAACAAGCTTGCCATAGATTGTCAAGTTAGCAAATTATTAAGTTTCACGCGTAAACTTGCAGGGTTTAAAAATACCTTGTTTGAAATAACTGTTGATCTCCTTTCCGCCTTTTTGTCTTTCCGCCATTATCTTCATCTTTCAGCTCGACGTTTTTCGAGATGTGCCCAAACGAATGCTCTTCCGTGATAGATGGCTTCAGCTGCCGCTGTACACCTCTTTCAAATCTTGCGACCATTCTACTGGGTATTGCCTCCGCTCTCTCCCAACACTCTTTGTTGTCATTGAATCTTCTCACCTGCAGTTTGTATAAGATAGGTAATGAAAAGTAAGTATATTGTACAAAAATATTTCAAATTAAAATTGAAGTCTAGTGAATCATATTGCATTTCACATCAATTCGTCATTACTACTGCTGTTTTTTTTATGGCAATTCACCTTGTAAATTGTCACCGACCGGAATTCCTTCTTCTCAAGTATTTCATCTATCAAATATGGGACTCCGGGTGTGGTGGCCTCAATGCTGTCTGAGTTTCCCTGCCCACATGCAGTTGCCTCCTGTGTATTCTCTCTCTGTTCTTTCGGGTCGCAAACGAAGTCTTTGCAGGTCTTGCAGAATCGCGAGCCTTTGGCAGGCGTATTAATACAGCCTGAATTAAATAAATCATACGTTACCTTTCAATCTAAACGTTAATCAATCTCAAGGTTATTTATTTAAAATTTGAATCAAGAGATTTCATTTCCCTAAACCACGTGTATCACATCGTCTTGTAATCAAAAAGGCATGATCTAAAAGATGAATTAATTTCAAATAATAAGAACGAAAGAAACATTATGTTCATAAATACCTGTCTTGATGGATCCTGGTAAACCTGGAAACTCCATCGCTGCATCCGTTACACTGCAAACCTGTCGGTGGTTTTTCGCGTTACCGTCCAGTATAATGCAGTTTTGACACCCGGGAACAGCACAGATATGAGCTGGAAAATCAAGATTAACTTTGTAATATAACGTTACAACCCCACAGCAGAGGCACAACAGCAGAAAGTACTGCGCCTGCGCGAGCCCCAATCCCCATTTTTTTCACGATTTTCGTTGGAGTTTTGGTCAATGTTGCATCAGAATTTTGCCAGTTTCAGACGATATTTGTACGACATAACATTTGGAAACTACAGACGAAGCGTCATCTTTATATACACAAATACGACCTTATATAAGACGTTCTGCTACAATATATCACAGGTTTCGCGCAGGTGCAGTATGTGCTTACGTTACATGAATTGCTTCACATTTTCTTATCAAATAGTCTATAGTATTTTACAATGTGTCATTGTTATCTTTAATCCTAACATTGTACACTGTTAAAATGATTAAATATTGTATCGCCCGTCATTCATAATCTTTTTAAAAATGTAAATACGATACTTCTGAAATATGAAACAAACGCGTGTAAAGAAAGTTTGTATACCTGACCACGTTTTAACGAAAGCTTCGTGAAATGGCGACGATATGCTTTCGCACATTGAATTGGTGGAGTGGGAGATCGATCTGTCTTTGTTAATCCCGTAGGTTGACACAACCTTCAAGTACGCGTACAACAGGTGTGCTTCTTCGAAGCGCCTTCGGTCTAAACAGCTTCGGGAAAATCTGCCACCACATCTGAAAATCATAAAGAGAAAAAATGTTTAAAGAACAAGTCTAAGACTACAATTTTAAAAAGATTTTTTTAAAGTCCCACATTTCAAGATATAAACTTTCTATCCCATCACTAAATTGTTAATCTACCTGTAGATTGACTATTCTATCATTCCATGGTTTCAAACAACCGTTATGTCAAACGGTTGTTTATATTCTGTCCTTCATATTTATAAACATAAAAGGCAAGAAATCAAATTCAGTTTATTTCATATAGATATTGTAACAAGTATTAAGGCTATTATTGAAGGCTCTAGTATTTTGTAACTGTTTGACACGTAAAAAATAAGACTTGCCTGTTTTCTTTGCCTTCGGTCGTGACGGTGCAGTCCCAGTTGTTTTCAGCTGACAGGGTATACTTGTGCACATAGTTGTAGATGTCCGCCTTTTGGTCGTAGCTCATGATGCCGATAAGTAACTCTGCATCGAAATCTCTCAACATTTTTAGCTGAATTGCTGTGACGCTAGATGACAACAGATATTCATTCTCTTCCCAGTCATCATCATAGAATTTCATTCCATTGATGGTATAGTAACCATAATACTGCACAAAGCGGCATTTCTGGGCGCATATCTTTGGATATTTCATTCCGAAAAAAGTGCCGTAACACATGTTGTACATTGTCACCTCCGAGGCCTTGTCTTTCGCCACTTCTAATCTTCCTCCGCATAAACGGCACTTCTCCTTGGTTGAGATGAGCGTGCCTCCCCATGGTTTTCCTGACTTTAGACACTGATCCTGCAGCTCCATAAACAGGGTCGCATCATTGTGAAAGGCGTTAGGGAACAAAACCTCCAGGTTGGTAGATACTGTTTCAAAGAGCTTTTCCGACAACGGACTTGAACTTGTCTTCCCCTGGGCAAACCACTTGATGATAGCTGACGCATTAGGCGTTCCACTTGGAATTAACGTTTTTATGAATAGCAGACGCCGGACAACGCCCAGGTCACGGATACCAAGAAATATGTCCCCTAACATCGTTCAAGACAAATCATCGTTCAAGACAAAACAACTTCTCAACTTTAAATGTCTCAACTGATGTTTCTAGAACCCTAACGTATGTAGAACCCTAACTATTCTTATCTTCTTACCTTCTTTCTACGTGCGTCACCAACTGATGACTACGTCATTACCGCCAGGTGTTTTCGAATGCGTTCTTAGAACCTTGTTGTTTTCAAATCAGTTTGTCACTGCGGTGACCTGGAGACCATCAGTCACTATCTATACCACTGCCCTCTCTACTCAAGAGGAAAGACATCACGTGCTGCTTAAAGCAGAGACAGCATATACAAAGCAGTCGGTATAGCAGAGGAAGGCAGAGACGCAGATATCGTCACTCCAGCCAGGATGAGAGAATACCTTTCCGAGGAAACTAAAAAGCAGATGTACTTAGCCCTCTCCCGGTACATCGAAAGCAGGCACAGAAGCAATGCGCTTTTATAGTCACACTTTCCGATCAGCACGCAATAATAAGGCACCAAAGGTTGAACACCTAGAAAGCCTATATACTCGAAACTGAGTCATGCAAGTGGAACCCAACGCCAAGAAAACAAGGTCTAACTACATACTTGTAATAGACGTTAAACAACAACAACAACAACAACAACAACATCAGCAACATTGAAACTCCGTTTTATTTTTGTTAGGCTAACCCACTTCTACAGACAATTAATAATTTAGTATTTGCGCGATATCTGTTCTATATTATATATACTCTCTATTTGAAGTTGTTGTGCATAACAAGCTTCTAACCGTTTCTCTGACTTTATACAAAAGAACCCGAATTACATATGACTTTAACAATTTAAACTTCTGCCAAATCCTGCAATTTTACCCTGATAGAGACAAAAATCGTTATTGACATTTAAAAGGGAGTTATGCAGAAGCCAACAAGACATTCAATGTAATAAAGACACATCGAGGACATTTCTGTTACTGCGCATATATATAGCATCAAATCGTAAAAACAGGCTTCTGGTTGGCTATTGAAAAATCAGCTTCATACATGAAGTAAAAGTAACATACAGCACACATAGATATACATTCAAGAAGAGAAAAATATGTTTTAATTAACAATTATCATACATTTTAAAAAAGATTACATCATTTTTTGACCATTAGCCACATCCCTTCTTTAATTCTTTAATTTACAAATAAGATTAATGTTAACGTTGCTGTTTAGTGTAATCAATCATATGATTATAAAGAACGCCTTTTGCTTGTGTCGACGAAGTCGTTGTCGTCGTCATCGTCGGCATCAAATCTTGCAGAAAAGAGATCAGAACCGCCAAACTTTCTTTTCACTGGAGCTAACGACTCTGTAGTTTTGAGATCTTTCTCTGCTTCACTGTGTCAGAACAACAAATATGTTTCAATTAAACAATAAATCATTTTATATCCATTAATTTAAATTCAAATTTCAGTATTCATTTAAAAGTCAAAGCATCATTTCATTTAAGCAGTTAAAATATTGCAAAAATACAAATTAAAAGTCAGATTTTAAAGGAAAAAAATATCAGTGGCTACTGTAAATATAAGTTTAAAGGAAATTTTCCTGTTCATAATTTGGCAGTACTTGGCAAATATTTATTTGTAAACATACATTATAATCAAATTCATGTCACACATCTACAAGAAATAATATTTCTAGTACAAACATCTTAAAGCAAAATAAGGATCAAATGTCTCTTACCTATCAACAAGAGTCTCAGAGTACTCCTTGATGTTCACACCGTGCTGCGCCAAAGCCACCACCGCTGCTGTTTTGTCTGCGTCCGGTAGTTCAAGGACCTCATTTTTCAGGAAGTAGACTTTCTAAACAGTGATAAATTTAAAAAGAATAATAGTTTGATTTCATTAACAAGGTTTAAGAGAATGTTTTTAATATTGTCTTGTTTGTTTGCTTGTTTGTTTTGTATCTCAAGCGTGTACAGAAGGTTGAAATGAAAAATTACTGCTACCATTCTACACCTCACCTGTCCTCCTCGGTGAGACAGCACCTTGACCATCCCCAGGCATTGTTCTTGCAACGCCAGCATAGCATCGACAACTTCCTTTTTCCCTTTTAACTTGAATGGCCGAACTTTGAGAATGGCTGTTACCGAAAGCACCCGTCCTGGGGCCATCAAAATGCTTGCCGACAGCGTCTGACCTCCCAGGTGTGTCTGTCGGCGTGACGAGGAAGAGGACTGCACGTGGTTTGTATCGGTGTCGATCACTCCGGCTTCGTTCAGTCTACGCCCATGCAGAAGTCCCGTTTGCGTTATGCTGTAAGTCACCACGGCGACTGAAGCAGACACCACACGCTCGGGGATGACCTTTGGAAGGTCAAGGCCACATGTAGACTTGGCAACCATCTCCGACTGCTCCACTGCAAAGAACAGCAGCCACAGCGCGGCGCTCACCCTCAAGAGCTGTCCTTTTCCCTTACTGAATAATGCTGGAAAACAAGGAGCGCCCAAAGTAAATTCACTTAGATACCTAAAATAGATAAGTATAAATATAGACATGAAAAATAAGTAAGTCATGTTTAAACGATAAATTAGATAATATTAGAACACCTTGGAAAATTTAAATGTTCTCTTGACATTTCAAACACATCTTGTTGAACACATGTTACCTGTTCCAAAACCTGTTCTAAACATGTTAATTTCATTACCAGCTTCATTTAAACATGCCAGTTAATTGTTCTCATTGCTCTACATTTAACAACTGTATGTCAAGTGCATTTTTCACGTGTGTGATAAATAACAATACTCACAGCACATCAAGTTGTCTTCCAGCATCGTCTTTCTGATTGTCTCTTGGAAGGAATCATACGTTGTTTCCAGGACATTGTCGGGTCCCTCCTCTACTTCAAACATCTTCACATCGTCCCTTGCGCTTTCTGCATTCTTCTCTGAGTTCCGATTATACAAGATAACCGAGAAAAGCGCATCAACTGTGAAAATACAGTATATATAAAAATAAATATATGCATGCAATAAATGGAGTTATACATATTATGCTCAAATGGTATTATTATATGATATATAACAGAATCACACTGCACCAATAAATGTTTAATTAAAAATAATAAGATTGTGTCATTTGTAGTACAGTATAATGTCGCAGACATTTATTTCCTAACTATATACCACATAGATAATATCATGACGTTTTTCATTAGAAATGTCTGTCTTCCCTATGCCAGAGAGCCCCGCATCTCTGTTGCCTAATAATAACATTGAGGCAGTACTTATTGTCTGCTGCAAAGATTTTTAAAAACTCACCCAGAAGCATACGGAATTCCTCATAAACTTCCTTCCTTCCGTCTAGGCCCTCCGTGACCTTCAGAGACTGGTAGTTCCCAAATACCGGCTTCGGTATAGCCAGCAGGAACCTTGAAGATAGCCCACGCTCTATGTTGCCATGCTGACTCATTACATTGTACATCACGTCTGGTTGGCTGAACCCAAGTACGTTAAGCGCAGTCTTCTCCATCTCAAAGTTCGCGTTGCCCATTACTATTAAAGAAATAAGATAAAAAGAAAGACAGTAGTTGACAAATCTTTAGCCAAAGAGTCAAATTGAATTTATTTATTGTTAGACTAGTAAACATTTTGATCTCGTAAATCTACTTACTGCTACGATTACTTTGCCAAACGGCACTCTGTAAAGGCGTTTCCAAGTACACACAAAAAACGAAGATATTTACCAACATAATTCAATTAGGTTAGATTGTTTAAATCAATTGAAAAGGGATGTACCTGTTTTCCGCGTCCATCCTGTCCCATTATAAAGCTGCAACATCATAGAAGCTTCTGGGGTATCAAGCATCCCTGCCTTGCTTGCATACACCCCCAGCTGCGCCAAAAACGCTGACAGCTCATCCCTTACTTGCAGCTCCCTCTTCCCGTTGAAAAACATGATCTCCCCCAGCTTGGGAAATGTAACTTCTTCCGTACTCCACACTTCTGAAAACCCAGTAGATGGAACACCACTATCCATGTGGTGTCTCCTCAATCTTGCGTGTACATCCGACATGAGCTCTTTAATCCATCTACACAGAGTCGATTTACCAGCACCTGCCATAATGACAATTAAGAATTATTATAATGCTTCCTAAATAAATAAAAAAAGATAATGATGTTTATAAAGAGTAAAGGACTTTAATCTAAAAGCAGCCTTGGTCCTAGATTGAAAAACGACACGGTTATGAGAACGCATTCTGGTTTCGAATTACTGGGGAAAACCTGGCGTAGGCGGCATTTCGTGACGTCAGAAGAAGTTTAGAAGATTCAAGAAGTTAAGGTTCTAGAAATGACAGTTGAGTATTTTTAACGCAAACATCTACATTAACGCAAAAAGTCTGTTCATTGGCGTCTTGAAGTAATATTTCTTTAAGTGAAAGATGCAGTAAAGTGTAGATAAAAAGTTTGTGCTAATACATAAAGGAAGTTAACAAGTGAAATTCAACTCTACCTGTAGGCAGACAGACAGCTATCCAGAGTAAAACGTTTTCCATCCATTTAGTGTCAGGTGGAGTGACGCAAGCATGGCTGATAGCAAAGGACGCGAGTGAAATAAGGCTGTATAAAACAGCCTCTGCCGGCACACACAGAACGGATGCTACAGAAAAACAACCCTGAAAGCAACGAGAAAGAAGTTAAACATGATTCATTGTTAACATTTTGATTCAATTTATCGATACTTCTAATTTTTATTAAAGTCTATATTTTAATTAAAGGAAAGTACACATTCTAACAGCACAACGCTTCAAACATTTCGCCTAATATGATGTAAAAGATTTTGATATATGATAAAAACGGCAAACCCACCTGAACAAGCTCGTTTGGGAAGTAATTCCACTGAAAATCCACTTTCCAACACGAATGCAGATCGGTCGCTTTGAGTGATTTACTGCACGACATATTGTCGGTAATTTCCCGATTTAAAAGTCTAGAGACTCGGACAGAAACGCAGCCGTCGTAGGATTACCGCAACATGGTTTTACCGCCAGGTAAATGTTTTGAACTACAAGTGACACCGTTTAGAACACACACCACGGTTCGAATTACAAGTAACACACTTATAGAATCACATTCGAATTACCGGCCAGTTCGAATTACAACGTAAATGACGCCAGATGTTGACATCTCAAACGTGCCTTTCGCGCGTAGAAGTCATGTTACAAGTTAATGGATATATTTTCAAGTAGATATTCGTGATCTTGGACTAGTGCGGCGCTTGCTTACTCTTTACGAGAAGATTGATTTCAACAGGAGCGCAAACCACATCCACCATAGTATCATGGTTTTCATGGTGGTGTGCCCAAAGTGAACTGTCAAGAAAAACACGACACTCCTAACTTCGTACACTCACACGGCCGTAAGTACCAAGTTATTTCGCTTACCGTGTGACGTAACTTGATTTTAATTTCATACCATTCACCCTGATACTCCGGGAAAGTGGCTGAAGTTAGGATGACGTCATAACTTCGGACAACTTCGGACAACTTCCGACACCTCCCGGGTGAGTGTCTGAAGTAAGGTTAACGTCATAACATAACTTCAGACAACTTCCGACAACTTCTGCCACCTCCCGGGAGACTGTCTAAAGTTAGGCTGACGTCATAACTTCGGACAACTTCCGACAACTTCTACCACCTCCCGGGAGACTGTCTAAAGTTAGGATGACGTCATAACTTCGGACAACTTCCGACAACTTCTGCCACCTCCCTGGAGACTGTCTAAAGTTAGGATTACGTCATAACATAACTTCGGACAACTTCGGATGCGTCCGATAGCAGGCCGACAGAAGAGTCAAAATACGGAAAAGCACGAAGTTACATATATGACGTAAGCTGATGTTAACTTCTGACAACTTCTGCCATTTCACCCTGATACTGGACATGTATGACTACCCGGCCGGTCCCCTGTTTGGAAATGTGATCTAAGCATAAGAAAGACTCTTGATGACAGGAACGCAACATGTCCCCAGAAATTTGATACCATGTTCCAAACTTTAATTATGCAGTTTGCATCACCGCCCGGGCGTGTGTCTTCAGCCTGGGTGCCGTCTCCGTAGTATGGAAGACGGACTAAAGGCCTCGGGAAGCGGCCACGGCCCTATCCCAAGTCACCTTGCGCGAGGTTGGGTAGAGATACCACACGCACGCCTTACCCCTTCATTCGGGTTTCGCATTCCCTACTGTACGGACCTCACCATGTCGCCTCCAACACTCCGCACGGACGCTTCCCTCGTCGGGCACCGACTCACCCCGGTTCTCCGGCGGTGCAAGGGCGACGAAGCTCTCCCATCGGAAGAACACCAGGCGAGATTCGAGCCCGGCACGGCGCTGGCGGCCTACAACCGGGATGATCTGGAGACGCGGGTGAGAGAACTCAC